ATGTTCCAACACCGCCTCGTAGTTCGCTACACACAACTCCTCTCGAGTGGTCTCCGCCGTCACATTTATCCCAGCGAACACCAACCAATTTGCATACGCCCGTTCTCCTCTCGCCAATCCTCGCGCTACGAGATCGCATTTCATAAGTTCGACTCACCGTAATGGTGGTGTTTTTTTCGACGACCAACACTGCCCTACACGCCAGACACAAACGAACTCTCTATGCCGAGAACTGAGGTTGTCTCATTTTCATGTCCACTCCACCCCTGGTCTCAAGATCACAAATGTGGCATTGCGGACGCGGGTCGTTTGTTGCGGCACTCCTACGAAGAGGGGATTGTCTGGACTTCTTCATCGGGACTCTCAGAAGGGCGCCAGAACTATCAGCATCAGCGTCGGGATCCGCAGTCAAACCATCAGGCCCGAGGGGGCATAGGTCGGATCCACAGTTCATCGCTGGATGATTCACCACTGCTGCTACTAGTCAACTGGTTCGGATTTAGGCGGGCCGGACATCCTTCACATGGCGGAGTACCATCGACCAGCACTGCTTGCTCATTAGCGATGCCGGTGATTCGTTTTCGTTTTTGAAAGCTGGTGGGCACCGCTATTGGGAGGGCTTCACCCAGACGGTGTCCCCTACCTTATACGGCCCTCGTGGTTTCCCGCCGATCAGGCAGACACGCGTCAATGCCCTGTTGGCGCACTTGGTAGCGGCGGATTGCATTGGCGGTGCGCTTGCAGCAGTCATGGCATCCTTGGTGTTGCATTGTATCTCAGACCGCCTCCGCTTATCGCGGCACTGCTTCTGGCCGCGATCCTCTTCACGCTTCGCGTGGCACCGCTCTGCTATGCGTTTGCCACTCGGCACATATGCACAGCGGTGTCTGAGCCGGATCCCCACCTGTCACGTAAACGCCTAAACTCCCCGCTGCAGAAGGCCGTGGTCGTTATCCGTAAGGATCTCTTCAGGCGGCCCCTTTCATAAAATATGGACTCCAATTCTCGGATGACACTGGATGAGTCCTGTCTTACTATTGGCGTTAGATTGCGAACCTCGTCGGTCCGGCAATCTATCAGTGAGGGAAATGCTGGCTGCCGTAATGGGTTGCGTCCATACCCAGTCGGCCCCAAGTCGTGTCTACCCCCAGCCGACCCTTCCGCCATTTAGCTGGGGCGGGGTCATTTGACTGGCATGTTTGGCATTCCTTCACCACCGCTCTGACTTCACTTTTTTGGACACTGACGGATTTGTCAACTGTACAAAATAGCATGTCCGTCTCACTCCGGGTGCCGCCCACTGTTGTGGTGTATCTCCTGATTTTGTCCGCCGCCTTAACAGAGGCAGCACATAGTAACGGTACTGGCTCAGTTTCTTTCTTCATGGCGCCATACCATCTCTGTGGCACACGAGTGAGCCTATCAGCAAGGTTGCAGTTTGAGGTGACAAGCACCGCATCCATAGATAGGTTGTACTCTGTTACCAGCTTTTATGGTCTCCAACCTCCGTCTGATCAGCATCTCGCCAGCCGCTTTGGTAATGCACTCCTGGCCTTGCCTGTCAGTGTGTCCGATATCCAGTGGTACACATAACGAATCAGTGTGTATGTGTAATTTCTTAACTTTCCACTGAGTGCCAGGTTGATGCCTTTATCACCGCATCGAGCTCTGCCAGGTTGATATGAGCAGCGTCATTCACCGGTCGCAACCAGCAGGCGTCCTCAATCGCAGCCCCATTCTTCTCCAACAGCACACCAATCGCCAGAGAGCTTCAGATCCACCCACACGTTCAGTTCGTCTCCTGCACGCACCAGTCTCCTTTGGCGGGGTCATCCTGCTTTTACTCTTGCAATGGTCTCCTTCACCATGCGAACCAACAGATCGTCCGTTGTTTCATCGTCCCAGCCTTTGGTGACTGCGCTTGCCCTTCTTTTTATGGTGCCTGTTGCCACACGAGTCCATCCCACACTGGTAGATGCCCCACAAGTCTTCCACACAGGGAGAATATAGCTCGCCTCGTGAAGACATCGGGTACTTCAGGAACTGCAGTTCCCGCCCCATTTTAAGGTCTCTCGCCCTGTTGAACGTTCAGGCCCAAGACACGGGCACCATCCTCCAAACGTTCTGGGGTCCTTACAAGTCAGACCAAACTCAGCCAGTTTGGACCTCACGCGTGATGACGACACAACGTCTTCGTTCACATATATCATCAAGGTACGCCGATGTCCCCTCTTTTTATTGTTTCTTCCTGTGACAACACAGCGTTGACGATGGTCTTCATTATTTGGGGTGCCGCGCTCAGCCCGAAGCCCAGCCTAGTAAGGCAGTACCTCCTGCCGGCAAACACCACCGTCTGAAATGGCCACATCGCCTCGCTGACCCGGACCTGCAGGTACGCTTTTCTTAGATCCAGCAGGGACACATTGGAACCCTGCTGGCGCCATTCTCGTAGCTTGCTGGCACAAACGTCAGCATCTGCCGTGAACGCATCAACATGCGCGTTTAGTTTGCGGTAGTCCATCACTGGCCTCACCTTTTGCTTTGTTGTGCTGGAGCAACCGCCATCAGCGGATCAGGCCTTTGGGAGGTCCAAGTTTTCAGGGGTAAGGAATCAACCAGCCATCCTTTGATCCATTCACGGAGCTCCCTTCGTATGCAGGCCTTATTTGATCGGGCACATGGTACTCGGCTACCTCATTCCGCAGTTTGGCTGGTTCCGGTTTTCCGACCACCTCCCATGAGGTGGTCCAAGTCTTCTGCTGCTGGTCAAATTCGACACTAAAGTCCGGCTGGTCGATCCTCAGAGCTGCACACACTGGGGCCCTCTCCTGAAACTGTACTGCCCCCCGTCTGCGTTATGTGAACACCACCTAAAGCTCTGATGGCATCATAGCCTAGAAGCAGGTCAAAACTCAGTGGTTTTTCGAACACTACTAGCGCCTCGACGTTGGCCGAGTTTCCAGTTCTTGTACGGATGTTCACGCGCCTACCTGCAACACCTTCGTGTTTCTCCACTGATGGTGGTCACCCTGACACTCTTCTTCTTCCAAGCGTGGCAGAGGTCCGCGCACACTATGGTCTTGGGGAGCAACCGGAATCGAGAAGTGCTGAGCACAATGTCTCATTAATGTAGACCTGGATGATCGGAAGCGCCTCATCTAATTTCTGCTTTTGGGGAAGAGGTCGACGCTGGCACCTTGTCCCCGGCCCTGTTTCCCACACAATCCCGGACCAAATGTCCAGTCTCATTACACCGGTAGCAGCGAACAGCTGTCAGTCGCCTCCTGCAGTTCCTCGCAATGTGGGCCCTGGCCACCGCGACCTATAACATACGACCCCTTCACTACACGGGGCTGGGCCCCTGAAACGGTCTCCATCATCACTGGCGTGGACTGTGCAGCGGCGACTACCGGTTCTCTCACCTCAGAGCTTTTCATCACGGTCCTGGCCCGGTCTACCAGGTCATTAAGGGACAACGAGTCTATGCTTAAGCTCACCTGCAGGGAGTTGCTTTGCTCGGTTGGGAGCCCTGCCAGAAATTTGTATGCCAAGGCACGCCTGGCAGTCCAATCAACACCGTCAACTTCGTCAGCTCGGCCAGATACACGTCGACAGTTTCGCCTGGAAGTAAAGTTCTTGCCTCGAATTGTTCCCATGCAGGCGGGGTCGATAGCAAACGCCTTGTATAGTGCTGCCTTTGATTCTCTTATAATCTTGTTTTTCCTCAGCACTGAGCTGTTGATACACAGCGAAAGCCCCGCCAGACAGCCGCAGAGGAATAACATGTTCAATGTTCTTTATGCCAGACAAGAGGCAATGTAATTCCACTTTTTCCACCCAGTCAAGTACCGGGGTTGAGCCATCGAACTCCGGAATCAATTTCAGGTCGAATCTGTCCCCCATTATGCCGAAATAGCTTGTCGCAAAATTCGGTCCAAACAATAGGAAGGGAACAGGTTGGTCTCGGTAAATTTAGGTCCAAACAATAGGACGGGAACGGGTTGGCCCGGCACCGCCTACTTCGAAAAACTCCTCAGCTTAACGACAGCTACAATCCAGCTACAACAACTCCACAGATCTTTGCACTCAAATGTTCCAACACCGCCTCGTAGTTCGCTACACACAACTCTCTCGAGTGGTCTCCCGCCGTCACATTTATCCCAGCGAACACCAACCAATTTGCATACGCCCAAGTTCTCCTCTCGCCAATCCTCGCGGCTGAGATCGCATTTCCATAAGTTCGACTCACCGTAATGGTGGTGTTTCTTTTCTTCGGACCAATTACTGCCCTACACGCCAGACACAAACGAACTCTCTTATGCCGAGAACTGAGGTTAGTCTCATTTTCATGTCCACAACCTCATAGTCTGGCACTACACTATCACTAACAAAGATTCTTCTCACCATATAACAGAAATCACATAAATTGGCTACTTTCAGCAATAGAAATAATTAAAATGGATAGCATGTGAAACTTAAATAGAAAATTATGACGTAATCAAGATGTTGAAATTCCACATTACTTTAAACAGAAGGTTAGGAAGGAAACCCTCATCAATATGGGAAAATAGCAATAACAGTGGGCATGAGAAACCTATTTTCCTGAAAAATCTTTTTAATTGAATGATTTTATAAATTTCAATCAAGAGTAGCTCTAGCTGTTTGGTCAATGAATACAGAATGTTTCCTGATAAGGAAACTGCTAATATTACCCTTATTAAGGTGCACTGATTCGAAATTGGAAGGAATAGCTGAAAATTTTAATTCCATCAGAAAAAATGTTTTGATGAAGTCATTGAGGAATTTTTCACTATCTAAGATTTATTTGAACTGTTAAAAGATTAAAATTGTTCCATAGAACAAAGAGAGTACCATATGTGCAGAACTTCACATGCCATCCATTTGTAAAAAAAATTTTCAATTTATCCAATACAAGGCGCAAGAGCCATTCCTGGTCGAGGTTTACTATTAAAATGGTAATGATTAATGAGGTATGTAATATGAATAGAAAGAAAATTTTAAAAGGTGAAGATGATGAGAATAAAGATGATAGACAGCAATTGACTGTTGACATAAAGAGCTTAAGATTGTGTTTTTCAGGAAAGCACCGATATGGGAGATTGTTCTTTAAAGTTGCAGTTCTTGGCAGATGGCTATCTGAGTGGGACTTTCTTCTTACATTTGGAATATGGAAGAAATAAAGATGATTTAACTCTGTAGAAGTAGCATGGCATATCCCAGTTTGAAATGTCTGAATGGGTGGAATTAAAGAAAGGAGCTCATCAGAACATTTCATGGAATTTGTGACAGTAGCAATAGGTCTGTGACGTTACCTCTGTGGGAAAGAGGGTCCATGACTGTTTGCTATATCACATTTGCAGCATGAGGACAGATATTTTTCAATACAACACCATTGTCCTGTTGCAAATGGTCTCCATGCCAGTATCAAAACTTAGAGTTTCATGCACAATGCAAGTGACATCATCATTAGTTCTGAACTCCTGGTAGAACCACTCTTGGGGGTAAGGTCAAAGACAAGGACCCAGACTAAGCATGACCAACCCCAAATACCCCCAATGATGGAACAAGTGGAAAATAATTACAATATATCTCAATGGTTGAACCATGGATGAAGTGGGCTACACATGATGAACATGCTACAGAAAGCACTGCTCAAAGTTATAACAGTGGCAGTTTGTTGTGGTTTCCCAACTGGATTCTGCATGTCTCATTCCATATGTGTGCCACAGACGAAGGTCATGAAGTCAAGTGTATGGGTCACTTTCTGGCAAATTGAAGTTCACCTTATGCAAATTCATGCCATTGGCACCTTCTTCTACTCTGATTTTCTTTCAAGAGCCCAACTAATCAAACAGATAACTGATAAATGAGTTATCTGTTTGATTAGTTGGGCTCTTATGTCCATCGTCTTTTGTGTTAAATTTTTATAAGTTCTAATGTTAATTATGTTTAAATGAAAATGTCCATGAAGATGGTCTTAAATAGACCGAAACGTCCGACGTCGACTTTATTTTAACATTAATACTACATAATTGCATATTCAGATTTTGTTTGTTTTTTCTGTATTTTTTTATATATATATATATATATATATATATATATATATATATATATATATATAAGCAAATAACATTACAACTCTAAAGCTTTTCTCCAGTTTGGAAATTTGACTAACTCATTATCGCAAGTTTTCTTTATCTATTATTATTTATATTGAAAGATTCTTTTAATAACATTTGGTGTGATTTTAATTCTTTTACATTTTCTTGTAAAGTAATGTATTTCAAATTTTTTGGTAAAGTGTTTTTAATTATATAACTGAATTTTGTTTAATTTACTATGAGTCAATTTGCTTTTATTATTTATCTTTCAATTTTAAAAAAAACAAACTTTATAGGCCTTCGTCAGTCAGGGTTGCCCATAGGTAACATCCAAGTTGTCTGTTTGGCTGAAGCATCAATATCTGTGACTGGAGAGGCCAATGTGAGCATGGCAATCTCTGTTGCAGAGGTCGCATGTGTTTTCTGTCTCTGGTCTGTTGGAGCTGTCACTGCTTTCTGCAGACTAGCCTTTCCGTGGCAACTTGTGTCAGCTTCTCCTCCCCTGACATGAGGTGTTTGTTCAAGGTTCCTCTCCATTCAGATTGTATGGCTGACAGGCTCTCCCAGGACTGTGTTGATGTCCACAGCTTTCATGTTGTGTCTCACTACATCACATGATTCAGCCATCTGGCATGCAATGGACATGGCCCAACCAACAGAGTCTGAGCAGTGTGAACATGCTAGGCAAACATGCTCAAGACAGGACCTCATTGTTGGGCACCTTATCTTGCCATGCTATTCCCAGGATGCGGCAGATGCTTCTCTTGTGGTCAGTTCGGTATCAAGGTCCTCCATGACTGACAGGCACTCAATGGCATCAAGGGCTGCAGTTGCCACAACATTCTACCTGGAGTAGAGGTCGGAATAGTGTTCCACCCATCTCGCCATCTGTTGCCCCTTGTTCATGATGACTTCCCCAGTGGTAGATTTGAGTCTTATTCTCCACTGGTCCCATTGCCATCTTGATGCCATTATACATCCCTCTTATGTTCCCTGTAATTTCTGCTGTCTGGATGGTTTCGCTAAGCTCTATCCAGTACTTGTTGGCACAGCATCTGGCAGTTTGATGGGCTTTGCTCCTGGCAGCTCAAAGGATCTGCAGGTTTCTCTTGCTGGGTCACCGCTTGTATTCTGTAAGAGCAGTGTGCTTGGCCACAATGACAGGAGCCATCTCGGCGGACTTTGCCTCAAGCCAGTCATATGACTTTGAGGTATTTCTCCCAAAGATGGCTAAGACAGTGATGTGCATGGTGTCCTGCGAGGTTGCCCACTTCTCCATAGCAGTGTCTCTGGTCTATGAGTTTGCGTGTTCATTCTCAAACCTCTTGACAAACTGTTGCATAAGGTCTGACTGACTCATCTTGCTGACATCTATGTGAGCATTTCCAGCTTCTTGCCACAATGGAACCTCTTGGGCTGGAGCTTGATCTTCCAGCACACCAAGGAGTGGTATGTACCACAGTCCGCGCTGTAGTAAGAACATGTGTGAAGGACATTCTTAATGATGGCTCGTCTAACCAGTATGAGATCCAGCTGGTGCCAGTGCTTTGAGCATGGATGTCTCCAGCAGACCTTGTGCTGTGTCTTTGTCCTAAAGAAGGAGTTGGCTATGCAAAAGTTGTGGTAAGTGCATAGCTCGAGCAGTCTCTGGCCATTGTCATTCATCTTGTCAACACCAAACTGTCCAAGGTGTGAAGAGTCATGATCAGCACCCACTCCTGTGTTGAAGTTGCCTAGGATAACAAGTTTATCCTTTCTGAGGATACTGCTGATGGTGGTTGCCAGCTTGTCATAAAATTTGTCCATGGTATCCGGTGTGGCGGAGTGTGTCGAGGTATACATGCTGACGAGGATGACAGGGCCTGCGGTTGTTTTGAGGTGGAGAGTAAGGAGTCTCTTGGAACCATTGCTACCTGGTTCTACCATATTCAGCAGGCTGTTCTTCACTGTGAAGCCCACTCTGTGTTGGCATAGTTCATTGGAGCTCTTCCCCTGCCAGAAGAATGTGCAGTCCTTCTTCTTTAGTGATCCAGAGTCAGCCAGATGTGTTTCCTGTAGAGTGGCAATGTTCACATGAAGCCTTTTGAGCTTGCCGTTGATGATGGTAGTTTTTCTAGATTTGCTGATGGCTTGGAGGTCTTCAGAGAAGCCAGTCAGCATAGTCTGGATGTTCCAACAGCCCAGTTTTAGAGCTCATTTCTTTTGTAAATTCTTGTTAATGCATGGTATGAAGTTTGCAATCTGTTTGTCAGATGTCTCCTAATCTCCATGCACCCAATGAAGAAGGCAGACCATGGTGGGACAACACCTTATTGGCTGGCAGTTGCCCAGCTTAAGGTGGGCAGTAGCTGTCCAATGACATCCAAAAATCTCTCCCACTGACAAGAACGACCCCTGACACTGCGCTCTATGCCAATCAAGTGGTAGCTTATAACCGGTAACTGCTGTTTTCCGTGTTGTGTTGACACCAAAAGCAAAGTTGGAGTTTCCTCTCCAGGTGGAGTTCAGGGTGTTTTGGTGCAGTGTGGTGTGGTCAAATGCAAGTCTGCACGATGTGATATGGAAGACAGGCTGTTGCCTATGTAGTGCATCCCCACTCTCCACATTACTGGTGAAACCAAAGGAACAACAAGGTCATTACAGTTTGGGACCGGTGTTGTCGCAGGAGCTCCCAGAATGAGTTGGGTACAATGGTGAACTGCCTTAGAGACACCATCTCTGGATTTTTCCTTGAGGTTTACTATGTAAACTATGTTGGGTTTTTGCAAATTGCTTATGGTGGGGGAAAATCATTGCGAATAATGGAGCTGGATATACTACATTTAGTGTAATATATGATTAACAATTTTTTGCTAGGATCTGTTGTAAATATATATATATATATATATATATATATATATATATATATATATATATATATATATATATATAGGGAAGGTGAGTGAAGACCAGTGTTGCCCATCCACCTTAATAATAAGCTGAGCAACAAAGGTACTACTTCTACCACTGCCCCCTACATGCATAAAACATATATATATTTTACACTGGATATCGGAGTGTAAAAAAACAAAAACAACAATTATAATAATAAAATATTCTAATATATTTGATAATAATTTTATATTTTTATTTTGTTTTATTAATATTATTTAAAATATATATACAGCAATATATTGACACATTTATTGTCAAACTGTTTACTCCGACATCCATTGTATAAAAAAGTTTTTTTTTATGTGTTTAAAGGGAATTGGGTAGAAGTAGTACCTTTGTTGCTTGTCTACTGTACCTTAATTTTAAGTGTAACGGGCAGCACCCATCCTCTAAATCTCTCATATATGTATATATATATATATATGTGTGTGTGTGTGTATATAATGTTGCTGTTGTTCCCAAAAAGTATGGATGGTTCTGCACAAGCTTTCACCACTTAAATCATTTGTGTGGGTTTTCTGGTGGTTTACCTTGATTCATTAGCTCTTATCCACACAGTTCACTTGCAAGGTCCGTTCATGGGAGAGTGTCGGTGATAGTCAAGTAAAGGATGTTACTGGAAGGCTCTAGCTGGAGCTCTATACAGTGGCACACCAATGGGTGATGGCTGTTCTTTCACAAACCCATGAGTAATTTTGATGCCTGTGTACTCCATAGGTGACAAAGCAGTTCTATTTGGGATCTGCACTACTTTCCCTATTATGAGAAGGGGACGATAAAAGGAGCCCTAAACATTGCATGCTCACACAGGGACTTGGCAGCCTGCTGCAGCTGTTTTGTTATCAAATACTGTAGTCAAAACAGCAAGAAAGATCAAAAGAAATGTAAGAAGAATTTTCATTTTGGATCCTGGAATGTTTGCACTCTCCAGGACAATGATTCTTCATGAGAGTGTAAAACAGCTCTTGTGTCTCTCGAGTATAACATTGACATAGCAGCCATTTGTAAAACACATCTGGCTGGCAATTCTCAGCTTAGGGAAGGAAAAAGGTGGATACATGTTTTTATGTGCTGGCAAGACTGAGAAAGAGCCATGCCAATCTGGTGTTGGCTTTGCCATCAAGTCAGACCTTGGTAGCTCACTGTCTTCCTTACCTAAAGGTATATCAGATTGTATAATGACATTAACCCTCAATTTGGAGTGCAACACTTGTGTGATGATGGTTAGCTGCTACACTCCAACCTTAGGTAGCTCAGAGCAAGAAAAAGATGATTTTTAGGATCTCCTTTGGGATGTCATCTCCAAAAGTCCGACATAAAGATAAATTAATCCTTACAAGTGACTTCAATGTGCATGTTGGCAATGATTATCATTCTTGAAAGGGCGTTTTAGGTCACCATGGAATTGGTTGTGTGAATTCAAATGGATTATGCCTTCTCACTATCTGCAAGGAATTTGATCTTAGTATTACTAATACCTTCTACCAGCAACCCAGCTGTTGTAAGAACACATGGATGCATCCTCATTTGAAAGGCTGTCATCTGATTGACTGCATTATCACCAAAAGAAGGGACATAAAAGATTTTAAGATAACACATTCATTCCACACAACATGCTATCTGCCTGATCACACTCTACTTCAGAGTAAAGCTAAACTGCATCTGCAAAAGTGAAGGATTATAAAATCTACAAAGTGTTCAAGGGTGTTATAAGGTATATTGACAGCTGACAAGTTGCTCTTCAAGTTGTTTTTGTATCTAAGCTATGGGCATCCTACATTCCTGTAGCCCTGATCTAACTGGCTGTACATTAGGATCTTGGGCATCCTGTCATCAGACATTCTCAAGACATGACCAGTCCACCGTAATTGAGACTGGATGAGAAAAGTCTTGATTCCTCCAATATTACACCTGTCTACATTAGATGTCTTATATTGTAGGCTAACTCCCCAGATGGCACGTGAACAGCTCTTATAGAAAACATCTAGTTGGCATATATGATACCTGTATGGAGTCCACAACTCTGAGCTGTACAAAAGGATGGCAAGGACAACAACTCTGTAAACCAGTCGAATATGCAAGATAGGTGAAAGACTTTACATAATTCAGGGCTTTGTCTTCTTTCAATGGTCTCTCTGGAAATTTTCCCTGTGTCTGGTGTTGTTTATGACATCAAAGGATTCTGACATCAGACACGATATCAGCTTTCATTCCTTCATGAAAGGAGATGATGACCTTTAGCATGTTTTCTGGAATGCTGAGTTTCCTCAAGACTTGTCAAAGAGCCTCTCCATTCACAGTGTCAAAGGCCTTCGTCAAGTCCACAAACACCATGTACAACTCCTGGTTTTTCTCACGAACGTTCTCTGCAACTTGACAAAAAATATCTTGTCAATCATGTCATGACCTGACCAAAACCCACACTGCAATTCAGGACAGATGTTTTCAACAAGGTGTATAGTGATTCTGTTTAGGATCAGTCTAGCTAGGATTTTGCCTGCAATTGAAAGGAGTGATATCCCCCGATGATTATCACAGACACACCTGAAACCCTTGTTTTTGTAGAGGTGTTTGATAGAGGTGTCTTTATAATCCTGTAGAACACAGCCTGCCATTCCATATCTCCTCAAAAATGAGATGCAACTTTTCTACCAACTTTTGGCTACTATACTTATACACTTCAGGTGGAATAGTATCCTTAGGAGTAGGTGATTTTCCAGATGAGATTTGCTTGATGGAGTGACTTACCTCTTGATAGGTAGGTTCAAAAGACAACTCCGGAATTTCTGGATTTTGCACAATTGATTTGATGGCTTCCTTTGGCTTCGAGCGGGTAGTGTGGAAATCAGCATGTTTTAGTGGATTCAGCAGTTTTCAATCTGCTAGTTTGAATCATCTTCAAGAAGTGAGAGCAAGATCTACAAGGTCATCAGATCTAACAGTGATCTCATCCAACAATCCTCACTCTTGCTCCATATGCAGCCTCTTTTGTAAATCATTAGCGGTTCTTAATTGTCATAAGTGAAGTTATCGCACAAAATTCATAACTGAATCAATTGGTTGTCAGATCCAAATACATTAAAGCCAACAGCAGAGTCCATTTATATATATATATATATATATATATATATATATATATATATATTATAGATTTTTTACATGTGGACAAAAAAGTTTTTGTCTGCATGTAAAATTTATAAATAATTATTACTTTACTCTTGGTATTGAGTCCTCTTTTGAATAAATGCTGTGAATGTTAGAATTTATATTATTTTTTGTTCTTATTAGATTTGTGTGTGTGTGTGTGTGTGTGTATATATATATATATATATATATATATATATATATATAAAATTTTGTTCCAAATATATATATATGTGTGTGTGTATGTATAATATCTTTATCTTAAAATCTCTTTATATATATATATATATATATAGAGAGAGAGAGAGAGAGCTTTTGAAATTTCTGGCAGATTGAATTGCATCATGGTGCTCTTTCTCTCACAGATGGTGCCCAACTGACCCTACTATACTGTGCAATCAACAAAATCAAAAACAAACAATGCACTTACACAAAATTAAAGTTACCCATTGTTGTGTGTGTATGTATATATGTATATATATATATATATATATATATATATATATATATATATATATATATATATAGCCTGTAACTCTCTATGTATCACTGAAAATCTTGAATTGTTTCTGCTATATAATCTCAACATAAAAACCTTCCTAACTGTTAATAATAATGTGTTTACTTTTCATGAGGCCTGTTTTTCTTCTCTTCTTCATTGAAAAAATATTTCTCTTTTTACTTTTTATTCCTCCATTCAGATTTGATGAAATCAGTTATGTTTGTTTCTCTAAACACTAGAATTTTTTATAAGAATTTTCACCTATTCACTTACAGTACCATCGATGAAATACACAAGACATTCTATCAATTTAGGCATTTCCATTTTTAATTATACACACACACACACACTTTACATAAAATTAAACAAATTCATAAATCGCATCATTATTTGAAAAGAAATAATGGCAAGATGAAATGATACAATTGTTATTTAAGATACATACTAAAGCATAGTAATTCATTATAGAAGTCTATATATATATATATATATATATATATATATATATATATATATATCAAACATTGTATGCTGGTGTTAATAAAATAGTGCTTAATGTAAATATATACTTATTAAAAAG